AGGGACCTTATAACGATTTCTCGGATGATCTCTAGCTGGAACAAATATAAAAAACCGTGGCAGGTATTTAGTTTTTATAGGAAATATGAACTTTCTTAAATTGTGGCATTCAGGGGCATTAATATCCCCCTTTGCCCCGCTCGCGAGAAAGAAAATTTTGCTAAGATCATGGGATTAAAAGAAATTTCGGAGTTTATTCATATCTGACAATTGGTCGGTGTGAAGATATGGCAGACCAGGAGGCAGAGGGAAGACCAAGGCTGATGACGACATTAATGAGAAGAAGCAAGATGAGAACACTCGACAAAGCATACCTCAATAAACGCCCTGTAAACAGGGTCACCTAGTGGCTGGGATCTATAAATACAATGCTATGGCTGGATTCAGAAAATCCAAGAGTGCCAGGGAATTTGCTGTGGGGGGAAACGGGAGATCCCCGAGAAAACCCACTTTCACAGGACAGGCGCCGATCTAACTGGAACGGGAGGGGTGTTCCTTTTCGCGCTCGTGGCGTTCAGCTTCACTAGATATGCTAAAAACAACCTTGTCAACCCCCTCCCCCGATAAAATTCTGGATCCACCATAATACTTACACCACCTTTGTATTGATCTGTGGGTGCTAAAAACAACCTTGTCAACCCCCCTCCCCCGATAACATTCTGGATCCACCATAATACTTACACCACCTTTGTATTGATCTATGGGTGGTGCTAGGAATATTTTTGCATTCTCTCATCCATTCCTGAAAATACTAATTGCAATATTTCCACAAACCAAAAATACATGAACGCAGCATATACTAATACACTCGTTAAAATGTCATTTCTACTAACATATTAACATACTAACATTAACAAAGTTATTTTCTTCATTGCGCAGTCAAGCTGTCTCCAAACGTTTATTTTCTATAAAGTGGGTTCCTCGTCATTAAATTTAACACACTGACACCATTACACTGGTATCTTTCTCAAATCATTGCACACTATGGGTATATTGCACTTTAACAACCAATCAGCGCACGCGCACCGCACGTGTGCCAACGCAAAAGGTCTTGCTGCTTTAATTCTTAAACGTTCACCCAACGAAGAACCCGACGATGTGTTTTCAGATCGCTTTAAGTGAAATGAGTGCAGTACTAAAACTAACAAAATTCAAAGTTCTCATGAAAAACTAACAACGGCAATAAAATGTAATAAAAAATCGAGGTTTTATGAGTTTCTTTGGCCCCTAAACAATCGCTTAGTCTTGCTCACACGTTACGCCACAACTCTAACGGTGAAACAAATGGAAAACGTTGCTTTGTAAACATGGATTTCCATCTAAATTATTTTATTATTAGTAAATACCTCATAGACTTTTAATTGTAAAGGAATATAAAACATGGTTTGTTGAAACAGTTTAAATATTCTTCAGTTACCTGCACTGCCCAACATCTCAGCTACTTGCAAACAACAGTTGCACATCGACATATCTGCGAACTTGCAACGCTAGAAACCGAGTTTCGATACCCTTGTGGGCAGAGCACAGATAGCCTTTGTGTAGCTTTTGTGCTTAATTACAAACAAATAAACTGAAGTTTCATTTCTTTTTAAACTTAAAAAGTGGCAAAATATTCAATACAAAGCAGTGATTGTTGTAAACTAATCGTAATTCTGACAATCTTAGGCCTACTTAAAGGGCCGGGTTAGCGAAACGGACTGTGAATCTGAGGATCCATAGTTAGCAGAATATCGCTTAGCACTTTGGGACCCTTGGGCATGTTGTAACAGTGGTGACTATATTCCATTATTCGATTACGGCAAACCAAGAAATCAGCTTTGCGCGAATTTCTGAAACAAACATGTCTTCTTAAATTTCGGAAAATATAGACTATTTCAAACAATCCGTCCCTGAGTGTGACAGCGGTAAATTTACGGAATTACTATTCCTCTCGGTAGAGAAGCAGCTAGTCCAATGTGACTGTTTTAAAACAAACAAGCTATCAAATAAGCCTGTCTCGGGTAACTTGTTGACATTCTATCAAACATTAAATATATTTACTTTATGCTCCAATTACTAAATAACCTAAATCACCTGTTTAATGGCTTATATTACATAGCCTACCAGTAACCAGGATGTTGTCATTCTTTATAGCATTAATTTTCATATTATGGAAAACTAGGCTTAACCAGTAAAAACAGATTCATAACTGTTCGTAAAACCACAATACCACAGTAGAACGCCTAATAAAAAACTCGTTGAATATATTTATAATAATTAACCACCAGATGATGCTTCATGTGTGAATTTTGTATATTTTCACTCAAAACTAGATAATAATAATGCGACACACTATTGCACAACAATACAAATGAAAAATATCACGAAGAACATAAAGATTTCGAATTTAATAACTCAGAAATTTATTTATTTAGCAATCCGAATTGTATATTTGCACAAACTAGTTATTTTATATGTATATCTGACTTCGTAATCAAAGGAAATGAAATTATTTTAATTGTCATAACTTTAAACTTTTTATCTAGTTGTCCCCCAAGTGTCAGAGCGGTATGTCTGCGGACTTACAATGCTAGAAACCGGGTTTCGATACACATAGTGGGCAGAGCACAGATAGCCCACATTGCGTAGCTTTGTACTTAATTAGAAACAAACTTATTTATACTATATATTCGTTTCTGTTGTTAAAAATGTCAGCCCGTGATACGCAATCCCTGATAAGGATAACCATATTAATATCTAAAGCAAAATGTTTAATAATTCAAATTTTGATATACAACCTAGATCAAAATGTTTTATAAATACTGCAGAGTGTCCGTCAATGAATTTTACAGAACACATTATGTTTGAATTAACAGCAGGATCAACTCGACCTTATGTATCTGATCATGACGAGTAATGAGGGACATAATAGTATCTATATCTAATTTAATAATATAATGGAATTGAATGCATTGTTTTTCGTTATTCTCGTATCGCCAAGGAAACATGATAACGAGATTCAGTCTAACACAACTATTCTAGAGAAAGGTGAAGACATTTTGTATCTGATCATGACGAGTAATGAGGGACATAATAATATCTATATCTAATTTAATAATATAATGGAATTGAATGCATTGTTTTTCGTTATTCTCGTATCGCCAAGGAAACACTGATAACGAGATTCAGTCTAACACAACTATTCTAGAGAAAGGTGAAGACATCTGTGGCCATGGAAACAATGCAATGGGCTGGATAGGAACTACCTTCTTACCTTGGATCACATTTTTGCCCTATTTATGAAATGAACGGACGTAGTTTGTAACGTACGGAGATATAGGTCAACATGCTATAACGAAAGCTCGGAAGAACATTGGCTAAGGTTTGTAGGTTAGAGGGTCAAGGGTATTTGCTATTTCAGTTTGTGGTCTACAGAAGTCACTAATACACGTATAGATAAATAGAATACGGGATGTCCAAAAGTCTGGAACCAAAGGTGATTTGCAGATTTCTAAATTTCAGTTACTTTATTGATTATGGTGCTATCAAAGCACGAGAAGGTGAATAGATATATTTAGAAAGATACTACTTA